TAGAATGCAAATTTTGGTACATTTCCGTTTCGCCAGCGCAAATCTCGCCAAGCAGACTTTATTAGCGACAACACACAGTATACACATAAAAATATAGACAAATGTTAGTTCTAAGAATTTTTTATTTTAAAGGTATAAACATTTAAATGTCATTTAAAATTTTGTAAAAAAGCCAATAAATTTTCAAAAAGACATTAATTTAAGAATTTACTATGCTTTCATGGTAAAACATCCTGATTCGCCGGTTCACATCACATGACCCCAAGTGATCTCATTTCACGTAAAGTACCCTATAAAAATTCAATTCTCTCAGTAATTATCTACATTAATTTCAAGTTAAATCTTAATTTGGAATACAAGTTTAAATGCAAGAATTATTTCAGTTTGTACGATTTCAATAGCTTAATCAGAAATTATGTAAAACCACAGTGCTTTAATTTGCTAGTGCATTCTGATTAGAATTAATGAATTTAACCTTTGACTTTGCCTTTTCTATATTTTTGCCATCGGGTGAGCGGTATGATAGCATCCTAATTCACATAATTACCGCCCGCGAAGACCACCAGCGGCCGAGCGGTAACGCCGCTGAACACTGGTAATTCGGTCCAAGGTTCGAATCCTGCGAACGGGCTGGCTGCATGGGTGTTTTCGTGGTTTTCCCGATGTGTAACTTGTATATGAGCCAGTTTCCCTTATAAAGTCCTCCACAAAGGCATCCCTCCCTTAAGGCATATAGCCTCCAACTAAGTTCTTAGAATGAAGATCTTCATTTTTTTTAGATAAAATGTTTGTCATTTTTTGATTATTAATTTCTTAAAAATAAAGTTTCACTACATTTAAAAAATATTTTATATAATTTTGTTACAAATAGATTATAGATCTTATTATTAAAGTCTCATTCAGAAAGTTTACTTTTAATTAATGGATAGAGCCCTATTTCAATGAAAATCATAAGTTTACGAACACTTTGGGAACCACTGTAGTTCTATTAGCAACTCGAAATATATATTGTGATATATTCTAAAAGCAAAATCATGTAAAACATAATGATATAAATTAAATGTATATAACAAATATATAAAGCTCTATAATGAATAATGATCATAACCGTATAATAAATGTGAACACACGTTATATCACGGTAAATAAACACTGCTGTGAAATGAAGAATATTTCATTAGAAATTTACCTTTTATATATATTTGATAACAAAATGTTATGAAAACAGGTTATGCAACTTAAGAAACAAGTTATATGAAATGCCCGTTAAGTTACTGCAATATCATGACACCGTAAATAAGCATATCATAAGACATATTACCAAGATAAATATAATTTGTTCCTTCTTTTACATCAATAATAAGTTTTTCTTTAAAAATTTTAGCACTAAATGCCAAAACAAATTTATTATCGGTGCCTTTGATGCAAGGTCACACGAAGATAAACTTGATTTAGCAAATTTCTGAAAACATTAAAATCAAAAGTGTTAAATTACAGCAACATCTATTAAACTATTTTTTTAAGCAATTGCCTGGTAAATTTTAACTTTTATATAAAAACTGAATTAAATTACGAATAAGTGACTAAGCTTGTACAGTATTCATGTTCATACATTGGAAATAAATTGCACTTAAATGAAAGAGCTGGAAATATAGTCTGCATGATGCATAAAATATGATCAAATCTATTTGTTAAATATTTGAATGAATGCTTACTTTCAGGGATGTAGCTAGAGAGGGACAGTTTTATATATCACTAGCGGGCAAGCCCGCTACATGAGGGAAGGGATGCTTTCGTGGAGCGCCCGCCGCTTTATTCACGTTAGGTCACTTGATTTACGTATGCAATCACAAGATATACGCTAGCTCGCATGATTGCTAGCGGGTAAGCCCACCATTTGAGCGGCCTGAAGCCTGCTTTCATTGGCCTTTATTCGAAAGTTGGACCGAACTACCAGTGAAGCCCGCTTTCATTCGACGGGATTTGAAATTTGAAGCAAACTACCAGTGTTCAGCGATTTTTTTCCTGGGCTGCGCCCGCTGTATTCACATATGCATCCACAATTTCTGGACAGTACGCCGGGATTCGAAAGTTGGACCGAACTACCAGTATTCAGCGATTTTACCCGGGCTGCACCCGCTTTATTGACGTTATGCATTCACAAGATACTGCCAACATGTTACACATGCGGAAAATCACGAAAACACCTATGCAGTCAGCCCGCTTGCCGGGATTCGAAAATGGACCGAACTACCAGATTTAGCGCTTTATTCACGTATGCATACAGAAGATAGTGCTTAAACGATACACATGTGTAAAATCAAGAAAACACCCATGGAGTCAGCCCGTTCGCCGGGATCGAAAGTTGGACCGAACTACCAGTGTTCATCGGTTTTGCACGAATATGCATCCAGAAGACACTGCATACACGATACACATGCAGATTTTTATATATCATTCTAAAAAATAACTTAAGATTGATTTGCAACACTTGGTATAAATAAAGATATTTTTACCAAAGAATTAATATTATTTTCAGACTTTTTACTGTCGCACTAAATGTAGAAGCTGGACAATTTGAATATTTCATCTAGCCTCTTCATTTAATGATTTAATGTATTTTTACTCCTCCGAAATATTTTAATGACAAATTTATTCATTCATTTACAATGTTTATCAGATAATATCAAATCAATATGTATATCTGGTGTCACCAAAGGTTTTATTATCCTTAGCATTTTTTATATGTACTATAATTTTCTTAGTAAAAGTGCTGTATGCAAACAATTACATACTGGCAATGAAAATTTTGAGATTGTGCCAGTAAAAAAAAAAAAAAAAAAAAAAAAAAAGCTAAATCTTCTTAGCACTGATGAGGCATCCAATATGCATATATTTTCGATGAGGCTTATAGTTACAGGTATCAACACTGCATAGAATCGACACCAATTCTAGTTACGAACATATAAGCAACACGATAAAATCAAATTTTTATAATGACATAATAATAGGTAAGAGAATTAATGCATATTTGCCCCAGAAATACAACTAAGATAGAATATGTTTGAGATAATAAATATGGTTGCATCTTTAAATAACTATGCAAAATCTTATTTCTTGCAACTAAAAGGCTGTGTATTCATGTATTATTCTTATTCTACTAAATGTTCTACACATTCTTATTCTACTAAATAAAAGCTTGTTATAAATAAAACAGGAATACATAAACAATCTAATAAATTACTGAACTGATCCAAATCCACTGTCCTTGCTTTTATTTGCTAACCTGTATATCTGTATACACATGTCTGTGCACGCTGTTTAATTTACTCCAAAGTTATTTAGTTATATGCAATCATATTTTGAATAATGGCTGAGAAATTAAATTACTTAAAAGTCTCTCTCCCCTATCAATATTTATCACTGAACAAATACTTGGGTGTTTTACATTACAGAACAACAGATTTTCTCGAAAAAGATACATGTGCCCGTTTGATACTTCAAGTGAGAAAAAATACTTTCATCATTAGCTAATTTTCACCATGGATAAATTTTTTTAAGCTACTTTAAAAACTTTTTATTACTAATACTTACTTCAAAACGAACACTGCTATAAAAGATAAGAAAAAACATTTAAAAGCTCAGCGAGTAACAATGGTATGTATATCATTTTATAAGAAATTGTTTGGTGCATGCTATTCTATAGTGGAAAAGATTTGATATCTGTAATACTTTTTATACTAATACTAGATCATCATACCTATTTTCTGAACTAGAAATTTTTTATGCTAACTATCCTGAACCACTGTAAACAGTTCTAAATAGTTTAACAGGAAATGACTCACACACAGAAATTTCAACATTACTAGAATATGAAATTCAAAGTTCATCATTAACGTTAAAATAATTAACTTTTACTTTTATATGTGTCATTCTATAAATTTTCATTTAAATCATTGCTAACATAAACTGAAACACAATTTAAATTTCTGCAGGTAAAATATGCATGAAAGCATAATTGTATATGTATATGTATTAATAATATTTAAGAGATTAATGAGCTATAATGATTTATACTTCAATACACAAATATGCATGTTTACTTTCGAAGAATACACATACACGTTTATATGTATGATACACGAGAAAGAAATTCTGCATATATAAAAAAAAAAAAAAACTTTTCTTACGAGAAAAAATGTAATCAGTTTTTTTTTTTTTTTTTTTTTTTTTTTTAAATGCTTAGAACGCACGTTCATATAATGTCCCACTTTCTTTCCAATTCGAAATACGCGAATCCACCCTCTTCGTTTTGCTATCTCGTTCGATATTTTTCGAACCAAGAATGCGATAGAAGCATAACTCAGGTTACTTGCAAGCTCGTGATTTACACTGATGTACACAACAAAACATGCAGTCTGTACTTCTTTTTAAGTTATACATATGCCCACAACAATAAAAAATAAAACGTTTAATTACTTTTCGATCACAACACGCTTCACAAACTAGGTAGCATTATCAAACGTAAATACCGAGCTTTAATGTTTCCACCTTTTAGCCACTAGATGGCGTATCAGAGCGCTGGAATCGCGGATAGTGAATTTTAAAGAGTGCATTTTATTCTATTGTGGTTTATGCGCTGTCGACGAAGTAGATTTAATTCCATCCAATCAATTTAAATGAAATTCAAGAAAAAATGCGTATAAGTTAATATTCCGTACAAGGAAGTCGTGCTGTACACATCGGATTTTTTGTTTTTGCAAAACTGCTAAGTATGAATAAGTGGAAAGTACTTAAATTCCACATAAAATTTACTGGAAATAAGGAAACGGGCATAAGTAAATGTTAGACAGACATGTATATTTAAAAAATTCTGAATGTATGAACATGATTTGCAAAGTAGCAAGCGTGTAATAGTCATCGCCACAAAATTCATGCTTTTTCAGTGCTGTCCCTTTTATATGTAAATATAATATTTTTGTTTCTGTTGGTATCTATAGGAACTGGTACTTGTAAAAATTTACAATATGATGTAGATGCGTCTAAGCATTTAACCAACTGTTGGTATCTTCAGATATTCAACCAATATTGCTCAAATAATGTAAGTGCCTTTAGGCATTAAATATTTGCTATAAAAATAGCCATTAGACTATTTTATTGAAGACTATAACTACACTGGTGAAATAAATTAAGAGAATTTTCATATTTGCCTACAATCTCCAGAACTACTGGACAGATTTTAATAAAATTTGGTGTGAACATAGGTTTATATAATATAAACAAAATAAACATTCAACAGTTATAATAGACAGACATGTTTGTGTGTAACACTCATGGGAGTCTGAAGGTCTGAAACAGCAGTTTCAGAAGATGCAAAAGAAAAGGGTTAATAGGGAATATGGTCCCCTCTTATAGCCATACAGGCCTCGCAGCATGATGTCATACTAGAAATAAGGCAGTTTATCAGTACCTGTGGCAATTGGACCGACTTGTTCAGCAACGCTCTTTTCAGTTCCTGGATGGTTCTTGGAAGGGGTTGTGATTTGCAATTGCCCTCCCCAGAGTGTCCCAAACATGCTCTATAGGGATGAAGTCTGGAGACCTGGCTGGCCAATTTATCCGACGGATATCCTCACTCTCAAGAAACTCGTTGACCAGAAGAGCTCTATGTGGCCTCCTATTATCGTCCTATAAGATGAACTCATTGCCCACTACAACCTGGAAAAGACGAAAATAGGGCTGCAAGACCTCATCCCTATACCTCACACCAGTCGCAGAGCCTTTGTCAAAGACGTGGAGAGGTGTGCGGCCATCCAACATGATGCCTGCCCAGACCATTATACTGCCACCGCCATAATTGTTGATTTCGCGAACATTGGAAGGTAGGTAGTGGGTTCCTGGCTCTTTCCATATGAAAGTACGGTGAGAATTAGTGTTTAGGCTAAAACGGTACTCGTCGGTGCACAAAACGGTTGCCCATTGTTCTGTACTCCAATCACTATGCTGCTGCACCATGCTAATCGGACTCTCCTGTCCGTAGATGTGAGCAGGATGCAAACAGCCGGTGTTCTGACAAACAACCCACTCATCCAGTCTTTTGGAAACAGTCACCCTTGTTACATGGGTTCCTGTGGCTGCATACAGGTCCTGATACAGCTGAGAAGCTGTAGCCTCTCTCTTACGCCTTGCTAAAATGGATATATAGCGATCTTCTCTGGCCATCGTTGTTCTTGGACGACCTTGCCCATGCTTTCTCTCGATAGATCCAGTATCTCAAAACTGTTTAAATAGGTTATACAAAACACTAGGCATTAAATTAAACTCTCTGCATATCTGGACTTGCGATTGGCCTGCCTCTAGCCTCCCCACAGTTCGCCACCTCATTCCATCATCTTAACATTGGTGGTTACTCATTTTTACTATTCCGATGTGAATTTAACCAATTGCTACCAGATAACACCAAGAAATTTGCCGAGGTGTACTAGCAAATGCAATTCTTGTCACCCTCCATGCGCTTATAAAGCCTGTTTTTCTGCTGGCTTCACCTACACACACGTGTACGCTTACATATTTGCCGTACACGATTTTCACTTTTATCTAGAGGCAGTGGTTTTTCATTTTAATTAAGTTCTTTTTATTCAATTTGATAAAATATGCAAATTCTCTTAATTTATTTCACCGGTGTAGATAAAATTATATTTATCATAACAGAATGGCTGTTATATGTGTTATATATTAAACTTAGCCACAGTAAAATGTTTATAAAAGGATTCACATAGTACATTGTTTTGATGTATATTTAAAATGTTACAGTCAAACTTAAATTAATTTTATATTACAAAATATTAAAAATATATTGATTTTTGTATCACTTAAAACAGCTGTAATAAAAGCTATTATGGTAGAAATGTAAAAGAATGATAAATATTTTTTGTGGGTGAAGCGGACTTGGAAAGGCAGTACTACTTGGAATGGTAATATCTGCGTATCCTGAAAAAATGTGTCTATTCTACAATATTTTAAGTTTTTTGCTAGTGAAAGGAGGTTCTCTAGAAGTTTATTAAAAAGTTGTGAAGCCTTTATTTTTGCTATATCAGACTTTATTATAATTAGTAACATTCTACATTACTACTTTGCTTTCTGTAATAAAAGCAAGAAAACAGTCTTCATACATAGCAGTTTTAAAATAAAGTGCAGTTTGTGAATGAATTGTTCTGCATGTTAATTCAGTAAATTAAATTCATATTTTAAGTAGTGATGATATTTTAAAATTGTTTTATAAAGACTACTTAAATTTTTATTGTCTAATAATTTTAAGTCATTTCCTATGACACCTAGGATCCTCCCGAGAATATTGATGATTTCCTTTTACCACTTGATATCTCGAGTTTACCTGACATATATGCTGTTGGTATTCAAGAAAGTATGCAATCAAGGTACACAAGCATATATGCTTTCTTAATTGGAAGGAGCATTGTTATTAATGCATATAAATATTTGTTTTGTTATAATTTGGTTAATGTAATGTTAATGTAAATTAAGGTGCTTATCCATGTATAAATTAGTATCTTTTGCATTGCTTTGAATATTCTTTTTTTTGTAGCTGTTATATAAGTATATCAGGGGTGTTTGTGCTCCGGGGAAACCGCGGAATTCCGGGGATTTTGAACTTCGATACCCGGAAATTCCGGGGATGGTCGTTCAAAAGGAAGTAGGGCTAATAATGAATTATTTATTTTGATCTGGGTAATTTTGTTTGCTTTGAAAGCAGAAAACGCGAGGTCAGTGTGTGTGGTGAAAACTTTTCCTTTCTTTCTTCAAAGGCAGTGATAATGCGTGAAAAGGTAGAAAAAACTTTTTTTTTGTTCTTTCCTTATTGCGAGTTATGACTCATTCCCCTGGTTCTCGGACATTCTCTTCTGGATTCTTTTTGGCAAGTAGGCGCGACAGAAAAAAAAGGGAGAGACTTCGTTCGACCAGATGTGCGATCACGTGATTCTGGGTTCAAAGGTCTTATCTCTCCTGGCGTGGCGCAAATAAGTAGAGAAGGGGGGATTTTTCGCCGTATTAGCTATTTGTCATTGATCGCTTCTCAACTTTTTTTTCTCCGCTGTGTAAAATTTTCATTTCATTTATTGATGCACGTGTAAATTTTTCGTTTCGTTTATTGAAATATTTTTTTATTTATGTATGCAAAAGAATTTCAGTATGAAATTTCTCGATATAAATAGTGATATTATACAATTAGAAGAAGGAATGCATTTAGGTGGAATTGGATTGAACGGAGAGATGGTAATGGGGATACCATCAGCACATGGTGCAAGAAAATAAATATAGCTGGACAAGCATATTGTGTTTTTTGTAACTCACTTATGAAGTATGGTGGGGAAGGATTCAAGGTTTTCACAGTCATTCTAAAACTGTGACGCACATAAAATATTCAAAGTACATTAGACATTCAATGACTTTAAGTAATTATGCTAATTCAAAAAATACTGATGACTTACTTGAGACTGATGCTCGGCCATTGGATATAGTGACAAGAAAAGCATGCCAAGAGGTATTAATTAATAACTTCGTTTATCGCTGAGAATTCTCTTTCTTTCAATGTAGCTCCCAATTTAATTGAACTCTGCAAACAGTTGAGCCGCGATCAGACGGCACTAAACTCGTTGCAAATGTCCAGGACTACTGCATGTTATAAGATGAAATATGGGCTCGCAAAAACTATTAAGGAAAATATCATTAAAACTTTAAAGGAGACTCCATTTTCTCTAAATTTGGATGAAAGTACTAGCAATGCTCAAGAAAGTATACTGGCAATATTGGTGCAGTTTTATGACAACAATCAAAATGAAGTTGTAGTTCATCATTTTGCATCTCTAAAGATGGAATCTTGCAATTCAAAAGCTGGTTTTAAAGCAGTTGTTAATACTATTGAAGATAATAATATTCCATGGGCAAACTTAATTAGTGTATTAATGGACTCATGTAACACCATGCGTGGAAAAAAAAAGGGTGTTGAAACCAGACTACGATCAAACAAAGCACCCTACTTATTAGATATTGATGGTGACACATGTCACACAGCTAATAACTGTGCAAAAAAATTTGCTTCATGTTTTGATAGATACTTAGAAGATTTGTTTGATGACATCTATTTTGATATGAAAAGCTGCAGTAAAAGAGAAAATTTTTTCAAAATCTGTGAATCCCTTGCCATTAAAAAACTTAAGCCCTTGAAGAGACCAGACCATAGGTGGGTGTACATTTTATGTGTTTTAGAAAGAATCAAATATCTGTGGGATGCTCTTATTGCATTTTATTTTCATTACTTGGATAAAACTGATAAAGGGGATTATTTTTCTTATGTTGAAACTGTATACAATAAAAGAAATATTTCTGCAGCTCAGAAAAAAATTGTTGAAGGGGTGTATTGTTGCTTGCATTCCCAACAACTCACAAAGGATGCTTTAGCTCGGCAAAAAAGAATACTAAATGGGTTATTTGTTATGCAAAACAAAACTTTATTACATATGGCATTATATTCAGCAGTATTACCAGAGTTCAACACATATATTAAATTATTTGAAACAAAAAAACCAATGCTTCATTTAATACATTCCAGTATTTATAAATTGATGGCAAAATTTTTCTCTTTTTTTAATGAAGCCAGAAAATATAGAGTGCACATCTTATAATGATTTATTGAAGGTTGATGTCACAAGTCCAGAATTCCATCTACCTAGCAAAGTAATATTTACTGGTGCAGAAGCTTCCACTCACCTGAAGAAATTATCAAAAAATCATCCAATAGCAAAAGAATTCCAAATTTCTCTGATGAAAGCTTATATTAATACAGCACAGCATATGAAACAGAAATTACCCCTTAAAAATTCATATCTAATTAGTTTTACAGAATTAGATCCAGAGCTAAGAGGTAAAAGCAGTACAATATTAGCTTTTGAAAAATTATCATCTTTTATGTCCCATATTTTTAGTGATAATGAAAAGTCAAAAGTAGAAGCTGAAATAAGGTTATACCAGAGTGATATTGATATCACCAAAGAAATGCTCTACACATCTGATGAAAGTGGAAATCAAGTCAAGTGTACAATTGATAAATATTGGTCTAAAGTTTTTAATTTAAAAGATGATTTCACAAATGATTATAAGTATCCTACATTGGCTAAATTGGTCAAAGCCTGCCTTAGCTGCTTCCATGGCCCATTAGTGGAAAGTGCATTCAACTTAATGGATACACTTGTCACTGACTATAGAACCTCTCTTAAGATTGATTCCCTAGATGCAGTGCAGACTATTAAATATGATTTAATGGCTTCTAAAGAAACCTCATGTGAAAAATATGGCTAAAAAAATCCAATGACTGATCCAATTCGCAAAGATCTCTTACTGAATATGAACAGAAGTTGGAAAACATATCAAGAGGACTTAAAAACATTTATTTCAGATGAGTCACCTATAAAAGTCTCTGAAAAACCTTCTACATTAGCAGAAAAGCAAACTGCTTCTACTTCTTGCATGTGCAGTTCTCGAGGAAATTTCTTCAACTGTAAATGAGGAAAATAAAAGTCAACCTTCCTGCAATTATGAAGTCATCACAAAAGAAAGACAAGCCCACAAACATCAGAAAATAAAAAAAAGCAGCAGAAATTAGATAATTTTTTTTAAAGAATTAATTCAGGTAATTTAAAATATTTACATAAAATGTAGTAGTTTATATGTTTGAAAATTTATGGTTATTAATTTTGCAAAAAAAGTAATTCATTGAACTTTTATAATTAGGTCATTCAATACTTCATAATTGTAATTTTTCATTTCTCTCCCCCCCTTCTCGAAACTCCAAAATGTCGGTAGTAAGTCTGTAAAAGTTTCAGGGGATTTTTTGGGGTCCCGCAAATACCCCTGGTATATGCTTCAGAAACATTATACATGAATGTTGTAATAGGGACTAATTTTAAAATGAGTGTAGTTTAGAAAGTTTTAGTATTATTATTATTATTATTTTAGAAAGGGGAAATAACCAAATTTAAATGATATTTAAGGGGCTATTTCTAATTAAATTTTATCTTACATATATAATCAATCATAGTTTACAGCATTCATAGAAATATGGTATTTGAACTATTCTAAAATGCATAAATATATGTATATTTTTCCAATAATTTATACTATAATTATTTCTGATTATAGATCTGAATGGGAGATACTAATACAGACTACACTAGGTCCTTCCCATGTTCTTTTTACTTCTTCTTCTTTGGGTGTTTTGCATTTATCTATCTTTCTGAGACGGGATCTAATTTGGTTTTGTTCAGGTAAAAGAAAAAAAAAAGATTATTTATTTTACTTTCTTTTATTATATTTAATAAACAATTTTTGCATTATATTACATAATTGTTGTTGTTTTAGTCTCTAAACTATTTAATGTTCTTTTATTTTCCAAATGTGCCCGTTTTTAAGCAGTGTGGTGTGGAGGTGAAGACCTCTAGTATCAATTTACTCCTTAATTGCCATTCCCTGAACCTTAAATAACATTCTGTTTACTTTCCCCTTTATTCTTACCGATTCAATCCATAAAATTGTATGCATGCTCTACAATTCTTTATAATGTATGCAGTTTTGGATAGTTTTTTTTTTAATACGAAAAGGAAAAATATGTTATGCAACAAGCATAATTACATCATCTAGAATTTAAAGAACAATTTGGTATTTCCAAACAGTCATTAAGGAATTTAAAATATGTATTTATGGCTCAATATCTGTGTAACATCTTTTTAGATATTTTATGGGTATATAAATTGAAGAATTAAAATTAAGAAGTTTTTGAAATACAAAATTATTTTTTAAAAATAAGTTGAGAGCTTGAACAATTTTTCAGACGTAATATGTGAATTAAGTGTTTGAGCATTGGCACAGACAATTTTTTTTATGGAGTCAATGGCAATTTTTGAAAAAAAAAAAAAAGTAATATTCATGGGCAGTTGTGAAGTAAATAGCGAAAATTTAGTTAATAATAGTACTTAAATTATTATATGTATATAAATGACTAAATACAAAGTAAAAAGCAGTTGAAAACCAAATCCAGTTATGCACTAAAAAAAAGTGATGGAATGCAAAACAAATTAACCCCTTAACGATGGGTGTATCATATATGCATCAGCAGTTAATCCTCTTATGCGATGCCATGCCGCTTAGCGCCAGTTACCTTGGAGACGGTGTGTTGTTGCAGCAGTACGATCTTGCAAGACGGGATATTTCATATAGGTAAGACTAACTTTAAAAAAAATTTCATTAAAAATATTATTTTTATCAATTGTTTGATTTTTTCCCCCTGTAATGGTATCTAACAGTAATATAATCATAAATACAGAATATCAAGATATTCTGAAAAAAATAATAATAATTAAAATCTAAATGCAAAATAAAATATTTGACTCATCTTGATGAAATGCTGTAAAAAACTTACTTAAATCTATATCCAAACATTCGTAAAAAGTAATACAGTATATGATCAAATATTATAGAATAAATGATTCAGAAATGAGACAGTGTGTGATAATCTAGTCACTATCATTTCATTAGTTATAAAACACATTTTCAGACTGAGCTTTTTAATTCCATACCAACAGAAATAAGTAATCCTAGGAATCTCCTCATTTTAGGCACATCTAGAGGAATATGTTGATTTTGGGTGACGATGGATTTTCACTCATCTTTTGTTCATAGAAATTATTAGTTTCTTCAACTAGTATGTTCATTAGATTATCGAAACAAAATAGTAAAAAAATGAATTTTACTCACATAACTTTGAATTAAATTTACTTCTGCAATTCACATCAATTCATAAGGCTTGAATTACTTAACAGATAGAGTTCTTGACAGAGTAGCCACTGTTCTGTTGGATTGCGAGGTGAAAGCAAAACAAACTTCCAATTCAGTCTCTGAGAAGATTTCGGTATCAGATTCGCTATTCTCACTTAAATCTATAGCTTTTGGTATCAAAATAGTCACTCATGGGCTTGATGATATAAATGCATCAGCAGTCTTTATATGCATAGATTGCATATAAAGCTTTATATGCAATATCATTATTGCTGATGATATAAATTTATAGATTTTACAATTCGAATATACTCTACTTCCCTTAAAAACTTCTTTCTCTTAGACATCACACTATTAGTGTAACAGTGTGTTAGCTGATGCAAAAATGCTGATGCTGATGAATGTCTGCTATTTAAAGAAGATGCAAACTGAATACAAACCAGACCTAAAAAAAATACAGCTCCATTTGCAATCACTTCTAAATTGAAGCATTGGAAATTGTTCAGTGTTTATATTACATGAAGCCAACTGGATTTTGTGTACTTTACATCATCTGATTGTACATCTATATGAATCACTAGAATCAAAATACTTCATATACACAAGGTCAACAACACAAGGTTCAAATAAGCTAACTGTAGTGGACATGGAGTGCCATCTAGTGATTAAAAAAATTTTTGAAAGAATGTGTATGTTTGAAAGTGCAAATATGCCACACCCTTCTAGAAGATCAATTCAAGTGGCGATTCACTACTGCATCATCCGGCTGCTAGTGACGTTTGAGACTGATGCATGTATGACACATCCGTCTGCAGACCTTTTTTTTAGTTCAGGAACATGCTGTTTCGAAGGGACTAAAATGAAGAATATGTTTAAAATTCATCCCATATTCAGTTTGGAATAAGCCATATGAAAAAAACCAGAAGCATGGTGGCAAACTGCAAGAAAAGGAGGTCAAAATTTGCAAAAAATGAAAATAAGAAATTTACATCTTTTGTTGTAGCATCAAAGGGGTTGGAGCTTTAAAAGAAGAATGGAAAAAAGAAAGAAGGAAAGCCCATTTCTGAACCAGTAAAGACACAAAGTTTAAAAATAATCCCAGAAAACAGTCAAAGTAATGTATGTCTCAGTCTGACTGATAAAGACACAGATTAATTTTTTTAAGAGTATTTTAAGATTTAATTTTTGTCTCATTATTCATTCAGAAACAAGCTGATTTTTTTGCTTCTTTCTCTGTACCAAGCTCCTGATGATGATGCAGTGAAAGCTGTAAATTTCTTATATCATTTTTGGTTTTGACATGTTTTGCCCTCTTTTCTTCCAGTTTGCTACTGTGCTTCTGGTTTTTGCATATATTTTATTCCGAATTGAATGTGGGCTGACTTTTTAATGTCTTATGTATTTTATTTTGCATTATATGTATATATACACTGACAAGCCAAAACATTATGACCATCTGCACTTTTTTCATTGAACTTGTCTGGATAACATGGAGTGCATGCAATTAAGTGGGAATGGTCTTTAACTGCTGCTGGAGAACTAAGGAATCATTCTTGCACTTACTTTTCTGATTGATGGAAAAGGCTGCTGATCTAAGCGAATTTGATAGAGGACAGTTCTTTATAATAATAGTATTTTATAATATAATCAAGAAAATTTTATGTTCCTCCTGCTATAAAATTAACTGATAATGAAAATACCAATATGAAAAATTAAATTTTAACCAATTTCAGAAGTTGTGTTATAAAGTATTTCTCCCACTTTCTTGGCATGCCTTTATGGTGTGGTAGTCTGCACGCTCTCAGCACATAATTGAGAAGTCCGCGGTTTGATTCCCGGTGAAAGCGTTGCATATTTTCATCTTTCCTGCTTTCAGAATACCTAATGTCTCTAGAGTGGTGTCCGAACTAAATGGGTGGTGGATGATGACTCTTCACTGGATTTGGCGACTGGGTGCCTTAGAAACCCCAGTCGCCCTTTAAAAGGAGGATTATATAAGGTATTTCTCACACCATCTTGGCATGCCTTCGTGGTGTGGTGGTCTGCACGATCAGTGCATAATTGAGAGGTCCGCGGTTCGATTCCCGGCGAAGGCATTGCATATTTTTCATCTTTCCTGCTTCCAAAATTCCTAATGACTACAGTGTAAATAAGGAAGGTGCCACAAAGAACAGTTTCATTTATAAAGCTGCTATTTCGTTTTATGCAAATACCTCTCTTTAATTTGTTACCTTTAAATCTCAACAAAATTGGCATTTCTATAGATTTATGAAATTTGTAACTAACAAAATTTTAAGTGCCAATTCAAAGTTTCTTGAAGGAAATTAAAAAAAAAAAAAAAACATTTATTATCTATAAAATCTTATGAACCAGACACTATAGAAATTTCATTAACGATCAGTAATACTTCATTTTGTTATGCATATGGAATTTCCAGAAGATATTTGTGTTTTAACAAAAATTGGTATCTTTTGGAAATGAGACCAAAAACAGATAAAGAAATAACTATTCAAACTTAATTTAAAAATTGAATATTTAGAATGATGAGGGCATATCTTTCCTTAAATATGACAGTAAAAATAGTTCCTAGATATAAAAAATTATCAGAAAGTACTGTAGAACACTTGAAAAGTGTTATAGATCGGAAATTTTTTTTTCCAATGTCGGGCGCTTGCTCATAACGGCATTGGCCACTACTTAAGGCCAGAAGTGGTGGCCATGTTATTGTGGAAACATCTAATAGGTGGCCACCACCTATAAAGGGACAGACAATTTTACATCCATGACTTCTCTGGGATTCGAACCCGGGCCCTTTCGTATCACAGTTAGGCTTCCCCAACCACTATACCATCTGGGCTACTGGAATGAGGTTTTCATATATCAAGCACTTTGAGAATCTTTCATAATCAAACATATTATAAAATAAAAGATTGTAACATTATGTTAAAAGCAGACTTCTCTGATTATGTTGTAAATGTTATTTTCAAGAAAATCTGTTCAGAAATTTAATCTTTATTTTCTAGTTAAGAGCATGTTGTTTTTGTGATCTTTTTTTCCATGTGTTTATCATTTTCCCTCGTGCAACTTTTATCATTTTCATTAGAAATTTATAATTTGTCCTCACTTGACCTTTAATGTTCGTATTGCAAAATTTGTCCTCCTTCTTTTATGCATTTTTTTTATTAAAATTTTATCATTTGTCCTTTTTATGTTTATTAAAAAAATATTCCTTGATATGAAAGCTAAGGCATTGAATGGTTTGAAAATCTTAAGGTTATTAAAATTTGTTAATTTAGACACATTTTTAATTTTTTATTTTTTGTGTGCTTATTAGACTTTAGAAATAGAATATTATGATCCTAGAGACAAATAATATATGAATTTAAAAATTAATGTGTGAGTGGTGGTCACAGTGTGAAACTAGTACAGTCAAAAGTCGATAATCCGGACTCGTCGGGACTTCGGCGATTCCGGATTTTCGATTTTCCCGGATTATAGATCATCAGTTTAAATCTGGTAAAATGGCATGCAGAAATTATGAAATTAAAAATATGAAACCATAATTTATGAAATAAAGAACAATTATTATCTAAAGGGTATCAAAATTTACAAAAAAACAGCTTAATATTTATTTGTTTACTTTACTTTCTTCGCTATCGGAAGCGAATTATAATGACGAGGAATTTGATTTAAATCATATCAAAGACGGAGTACATCGATATGAAATACTACATTTAGTAAGGAATTATAAGCCAAATAAAATAAAAACATCTGCCCTGAAGATAAGGATAGTGCTGACAGATCAACTTCCAATTCATTGCGCGTTGCCCCAGCGTTAAAGATAAACAAAGTTTAGATAAACAAACGTTAAAGTTTAGATAAACAAAGGATATGCCTTTATCCATTTTTTGTAGCAATTCCACTTTTTTTTTTAATGGACTTCGAAACATACTTTCGCTTTGTAGATCCTTTACATATTAGTAAATATATATCAGAAATTCTATTTGACATAATCAAAAGTTCAAGCTTACTTTTATAAAATTGCTCTAACAGTCTGCAAAAAATAATAAGCCGAATCCAATTCGAAGATTAAGGAACAACGCAATCTGAAACATTAACTGAATTAGATAATTTTAGCTTAGCTTATACCGTCCGTTATACATTAAACGCGCATTCGTAAACGTATTTTGCTCACGCGCACATGCATATTCGCAGGCGTAAAGGTCTTCTGCGGACGCATGCGCAGAAAGTTTGTAGCTTTGAGGTCCGGATTATAGGTCATTCCGAATTATGGGTGTCCAAATTAACGACTTTTGACTCTATGTGTCTAGGACTTTGAAACTTAATGAGGTAGTAGAAAAAATAAACTTCCCTTATTCCATGTGCATTTTCAATAATGAGGAAATTTTTGAATTAAAAAATGTATTTAAAAATTCCATTTATGTAAATTTTTTACATTATTTTACAGTGTAAATCGTCAGAAAAGTGAAAAAATAAACATTTATGTAGTTTTTCTGCACCAGTGAAGACATAAGAATATACATAATAAGAACGTTCAGATAAATGGATAAAATAAATTTAGTAAAGGATTAAAAAAAATCGGTGATTTATTTTAAATGTCAGAGAACTTTTTTCTGAAACTGTTCGAAACATGTTTTGTCTTTTTGGTACATGCATAGACCAACACTGCACGTTTCGCACATGTGTCTTGTTTTGGCACATGAATTGCGCTATCTTGTATGAGGTTTCTCCATTGTCCTGCAAAATGTACACCGCCAGAATTTGCATTTTACTGGCATTATGTTCTGCGTTCTATAATCTCGTTTCATCTGGCACATGAAGTTTGTGGTTTTTTATGCTAATAGGGGGTGTTTTTTTTTGCTTTGGTACAAATCCTTCCTTTCCCATTCATATCTTACTGCTGATTATATGCATTTTGAATGACTGGCATATTTTTAACTGGGATTACTTTCTGTCAACATTCAATATATAATGAAGGTGTTTATGATGGTGACATCAATAAAATAAAAAAAAAAAAAAAAAAAAAAAAAAATGATACCACCATTTTTTACTAAAAAAAAAAGTAAAAAATGGTGGTATCATTTTTTTTTTTAAATTTTATTGATGTCACCATTATAAACACTTTCATTATATATTGAATGCTGACAGAAAGTAATCCCAGTTAAAAATACGCCAGTCATTCAAAATGCATATAATAAGCAGTAAGATATCATTGATTTGTCAGTCGACTGATTTTTTCCTGGTCTTGAATTGTTTTGACAAATGAATCAATAGGGGCCCAGTTTTTTAAAGTTTGATAAACATTTTCCCCCCTCTCTTTTTGGCATTAGGCTGTTATCATTTAAATGCAAATTGTGTAAAATCAATGAAAACTTCTTTACTACCATTTGCTTCGATAGCTTGAGAGTTTTTTAATTCCCATTAGAATGTTTATCCCAAAAATTATTTCCTGAAGAGTTATAAGTGAAAACAGCTTACCGTTTTGAGTTGCATATAAATTAATGTCAAAAATTAACTTTTCTAAGAATACAATAGTCAAAAAGGGCATAAATCTATCAATGGGTTTTGCATCTTCCATAGAGGTTATACAGTTCTAGTTAATTTATGTTACCTTGACTACTAAAACCTTGGGGAAGAGTGTAGTGACTATTTGGCTCATATAACCTCATATAACTATAATGACAAGTCCAAAGGAGGGTTAAAATATCCTTTTGTTCACTCAAAGAAATATTTGACAGATGGCACCTCTAGGGCTCGCAGGAAAGCCTTCATTTGGGCTTTAACTTAAGACAGAAAATAAGGAACTAAATTCTAACTAAGCCAAAGCTGTACAGAAATAACTAACCGAGTTGGCCCATGATTAAGCCTCATTGGTAACTATTAACAGGCACATAAGACTACGGCCATAGTAAGATAGGCTTAAAGCAATGACATGGCCCAAAGGCAGAGACGCTCTACTGTGAAATTCTGAGCTCTTTTACAGAAGTGAATGAACTTCCCATTAAATACTGGTTCTACCTCATTTACTAAAACATGATATTGAAAACTCATTCTGGTAGGGAGTTGTAGGTGGGAAACAAGATTTTAAAGGAAAGGTTTCAAAATTAAAAATAACTATTAGAAGATTAAAATAATCCCTAAAAGGTAATTTCTTCAGTTGGATCATAGTTTTCAGGAAATTTGGGAATTGATTTAATTATATTTTGTGTTATATCCCACATTACCTTTTAGATTAATAAAAGGAAGTTCCTGTATGATTCCAAAAGGACTCGGTAAATTTATGTCATTTTTTTATTGATCATCACTTTCATCTTATATATATTCATAAGCAGGAGGGCAAAAAAGTACCGTATTTGACGGCATATAAGACGCACCCTTATTTAGAAGGCCACACACAAGGAAAAAAAATTTCAATAGTCTGACCACAATAACTTAAAATGTGGTTTCTTTTAGTTCTCACGTTTCGTAAAAGCCAAATAAACAATCATTGAATGCAATTACCAAACATACTTTTATTAAGGAAAATTAACAAATGGCAAGCTATTTTGAACATGATATGTAAACTTCAATAATGAATAAATGAATGAACGGCAAGCAATCAAACATAGTAAAAAAAAAAAAAAAAAAAACACAGATTCAAGGAACGTTGCCTATCATGAAATATGCCTGAGGCCAAGGTGGAGCTGGGCATCGAAGGTCATATTTTTGTTTTTTAGCAGTCTTCAGTTGATCTTCCTGCAGGCTGCATAGACGTAAAGTGACCGTCGAACCTGTTCAAACTTCGACATCAGCTTCAAGCTTTGGCGCTTTTTGGCAACAGATATTTCACGCATGTGCAATATAATTATGGCAGATGTAGAAAAAGTTATGTCCGTCTAGACCTTTATCCAGGCTAAAAATAGCATTCAGTATTGAAAGTTAACCTGTGTCCTTCACGTATAAGACGCAGGTAACTTTTTTGAGACCAAATTTAGGAAAAAAAGTGCGTCTTATATGCCGTCAAATAAGGTATTTCTCTCTCCATCATTTTCATCCTCAGAGACCATTATTCTGATGAAGGTAATTCGTCAAGTAGACCTAATGCATCAGTTATTTCTAGCCCTTTGCAAGGCATTTTAAATCTCAGCAATTGAAAAAAATATTAATAAAATATTCTACATTTAAATAAAACTTGTATACGATTTCTATTTTTAATTATATAAACATGTATTTACATTATATTTAAACAACAAAAAATAATTTATAAAATCACAATACTAGCATAGGAAGCAAGCTTGTTGAACTCGGAGAAAAATCTCTGGAAATTGAAGACATTTTCACTGGGCAGGTGCATATATTGTTTAGTAATCAAATAACACTATGCTTTCAAAGTCCCTTATCTATAACTGGATAAAAATAAACACCCCTATTTGAAAGCAGTAAACACATGTGAAGAGCAGTGGTTTCAGAGTGCGATCGCTAAGCCTTTAGAGCATTGTGAGCACTGTCACGCAATGTTTAATCCATATACTCTAATGCACACAGCAAATGCTCCAAATGTATACAGGCTGTTTATGTATGCAGTTAACTTTTTGCTATATTTTTATAGCAATAGGGCATTTGATTTGATGTACTAAAATGTAAGGTTCTGCAGTCATTTTGTATTAATTAGAGCTAAAAGATAAGTAATCATTCGCTTTTCTCTTAAAAATTTCAGAAAGAAGGGGAGGGGCAATTTGAAAATTGGTGGTTTGAGTGCGCAACCACTGCACATCAAAGAAATAAATGAGTCCTCATTTTATCATTTAATAACTACACTTAATTTTTGATCATTTACTTAGTAACATTCATATTTCAAGTAATTTATGTGCACTGTATTTGTATATATATAATATACAGAAGCAAATAGAATTCCAAGGATATAATATAAAATCTTTGAAAATAACTACTCACAGGCTCTTAAAGGTGATCCTATAAAAAAAGTTCTTTTTTTTTTTTTCTTTCTTTTTCCTTTTATTTTATCAATGATTATTTATATTCTGAGAAATAGTTCCAAATTTGAGAGATTATTTTTAATATTATTTTATTTTCTTATCATTCCGGAGCATGGGACTATTCTTTAACAAATATGAAATAATTAAATTCTTGTTTTTTAGAACCTGAAGATGCTAGTGTTGCTACAAGACCTGTATCTATGGTGAAAACTAAAGGAGCAGTTGCAATTTGCTTTACATTCTTTGGTACATCATTTCTGTTTGTTAATTCACATTTAACAGGTAATATGTTTTGAATAAATGCTTATATTGCATATTTAACTACATAAAATTTAAATAATTATATTGAATGGTAAAATTATAAATGAAAGTCAAATTATGAACATGTACTGCAATTAATATCACATTTTATTTTCTCTAAGAAATATGCTGAATGTAATTTTCAAATGACCTCATTCATTGACAATTGATGACCGGTTTAAACTTGAATAATAAAATAAGCAAAATCTTAATGGAGAATTGAAAATATGTTCTTCAAAAATTTTAATCTAGAAGAAGCAATTTTTTCTTTTCTAATATAAAATACTCTCAAAGTTAATTTTACCAAATTGATTAGATTGATTCTGAAATCATGTGTGAGTATTTTTATCACAATGAACTTAATCAGTTAAGTTTAATGATTGGTATCTTTTTCATCAACCAAAAGAAAAAACGTAAAATATTTTATTTCTCAATAAATTTTCAAAGTAAAAAATAATTTACATTAAAATAGCACACCGAATAATGATTATTGGAGAAGTCAAACAACAAGAATCAATAAATAATAAATATAGATAATAAAAAAATGTTTGAATCTGAATAATTTTGGTTACTAAATAATTTTGATCTAAATAATCCAATTGCTTTGATCTGAATAATGTATTTGATTGAAATCTTGAGAACTATAACCATTTTGTGCAATTCTCTTGATAAAAGCAAATTGTATTTTTATTGAATGAGTTTTATATAGTCAAACAGACATATTTGTAAAAAATGCTTTTTGAGACGGCACCAGTTTTTAGAACCACTTGTAAAACACTTCTTAGGTATTGCTCAGTTACAATATATGTTTGTAATGTATATATTTAATGTGAAAAAAATTATGTATTTAACTACATTTTAGTACAAAATCTGAATGTATTAAAATACATTTTAGCGCATCAAGTAATGTCCAATGTTTATTAACTTCCTGATATGTAGGATATTTAATACAGTTTCTTTTTCATAACCCATAAATCATGAGAATGATATTTAGAATATTAGAGAAACTAAAGAGAGTAAAGCACTTTAAAAAAAATAGTGTATATGAAGTAAAAAAGATCAAATTTGTTATGTCCTTTAGAGAGTCTATGAAATTCTAATTGTTACTGTTGTAGTTGTTACTACGAAATTCTAATTGTTAATGTGTTATTGTATTCTAAACATTATTAGATATCTGGCAATGCTTGTAAATTCTTTCTTTATTTCTTTCCTTGTAGCACATGAGCAGAAGTTAAAAGAAAGGTTACTGGATTATGAAAAAATATGTGAAGCATTAGATCTTCCTAAATCTATTCCACGCAAATCTCATCATAATAGTAAAGGTAACAAATATTCAGTTACAGATTTTTATGCTGTTATTGTTGAAATACTATTTAAGAAATCGCCAATCAGGCTAAAACTGTTTAAAACAAGTATGAAAATGCAAACTAATGATCTTAATGATAATTTTGTTTAAATTTTAAAATTCAAAAGTTTTTTTTCACATTAAAAGCATTTTATAATTTGCTAGTAGAATATGTTAGAATATAATTATTTGGAAAGCTGTTGTCTTTCGAATGCTGGATTCCAGTATCTTTCAGCAAGATATGTCACTAACTAAATGGCTAAGATAACTGAGCATTTGCATTTTATTCTGAGTTCAGTTCCAGGACTGCAGGAATTGGCTTCTAGAAATTCTGTACTCTTTTCTATATATAGCATTAGTCACTTGTGTGGTCAGTTACCTAAAGGAATTAACCAAAGAAGACCAAGCAGAGATCAATGTGATGGCACCACAGTGGATTCTTTTATAGGACAAAATCCAACCACTCTCCAAAAAATTGATGTACATGGTATTCTAAGACAAAATGGATATTTTGCTTATTAATTTCCAAAACAGAGATGAAATGGTAAACACTAATTATTGATATCAAACCCTGCGAAAATTGCAGTGGATTATCCAGAACAATGCTTTAATGCTGAATGCTTATGCTTTTTTAGCCAAGAAAACTTGGCTGTCGAAAGCTCTGCTGATGTAATGCCCTGAGGGCACTTCACATGGAAGCAATCATATGAATTCCCACAATGGGAGGATGCAATGAAGGAGAAAAAGAAGGAGAAAGGGGACCATGGTCCCTGAAGGAGTCACAAATAAACCTGACATATGGGAGTAGGTAAATTAGTGAGGGAGGCAGTCAAGATGAAAATGTGTAATGTGAAATACTAGAATGGTCAGAAAACTCAGTAACGGATGAACAGATACATGAAAAGTATATACAGGAATATGTTACAAACAATATATACTACAAATAAATAAATGCAAGCTTATGACTTCAAGAACGCATTCCAATTATGCATGAGAGATGAAATAGCTCAGGTCACGAAATTATGGTCGCGCAATCTGTGGGCAGTAAATGGACGAATGGTAAAGTCCTTCGGATCCATGCAGTCATTCAGTGTGGCACTAAAGTTTTTCTGCGTCAGTGAGGAGTCCTTTTTTTGAAAAACTTATCATTGAGTCTATGCAAGTAGACGTCCATTGGCTTGAGATCATTGTGAAGCAGAACATTTCTGATATAAAAGTGGTCCCCTGTAATAATTCTCAAAATTTTGTTCTGCATTATCTGCAGCTTCTTGATGTTAGCAGGAGAAGCGGCGGCCCAAGCCGGTGAAGCATAACTCATGATGGGACGCAGAATTGCAATGTAAATATGACGTTTCCTAATAAGGCTAAGTCCAGAGTTTTTACCTAACAGGACATATAGCTGATTAGCAGCTGCTAAGGCTTTACCAGCAACATGTCTAATGTGAGTATGCCAGGTGAGCGTCTGATTGAGTATAACCCTCATATAATTCTCATTATTAACTCTTGGCACACATTGTCCAAAAAGATACAGAGGTTGCACTGAGGTACTATGGAGTCTTCTGCACCCTATAAGTAGGAGTTGAGATTTCGCAACATTGATGGAGATCCTCTAATTAGCACACCAGTTTTCAATTTGAATAGTAAAGTCCTGAAGAATGCTAATGGCTCTGTTAGGGTGGATTGATCTGACAGCTATTACAGTATCATTTGCATAGCATGCCAGAATCATATTGCTACTAAGATTTGCTTTAGTAAAGTCCGCTGTGTAGGACAAATAGAGCACCAGTCTCAAACAGGAGCCTTGTGGGATACCGGCTTTAATCCTAGTATATGTGGAGTAGCTCAAACCACAGTTCACAGTAAACAGTCTATTAGAAAGGTAAGATTTCAATAGCAGAATGAGTTCCCTCGGAAACTCTAATTGAATCAATTTGTAGATAAGTCCCTCTTGCCAAACGAGGTCAAAGGCTTTCGCCACGTCCAGCATGAGGATGGCAGTGCAACATTTATGGTGCAGGGCAGACCCTGCGAATTCTATAAGTCGAAGAAGTTGCTTGGTTGTTGAAAGATTCTTCCTGAACCCTTACTGGAAATCAGGTAGAAGGTGCATATAAGGGTTCATATGGCCGAGGATGATTCTTTCAAACATTTTACCTAGCATGGGTAGTAAGCTGATAGGGTGAAAATTTTCAAAATTTTTAGCTTTGGTATTGTCCTTTCTTGGTTTTGGAAGCAGTAAAATCTTTGCAATCTTCCAATGCTGCGGGAAGTAGCACTGAGTAAAACAAGCGTTGAATATTCCTACAAGTTTAGAGACTGCATTCTGGAGCAAGTTACAAAGCATGTAATTACTGACTCCATCTATACCGGGAGCTTTTCTCAGCCTGAGCTTCTTGATAATGCTTACAATTTCTTTTGGGGAGGTGAGACTAAAGATATTAACTGCAGTTGGTTCAATAAGCCAATCCATAAGCTTATTTTTCACTATGGAGGCAAAGCTGACATCCACAGGGCTTGAATTGGGTGAAAATTGCATTTCTTTTTGCATTTTTCAGCATCAGAGTAGACAACAAGACCGTTATGGGTAATTGGCTTAGCACATTCATGGGTCTTTTTGAGATTTTTCATAAAGCTCCAAAACAAGTCACTGTGCGACTCTAATTTCTCAATCTTATCATACCATTTTTCTCTTTTAAAATCATGGATTGCTTTTTTAATATTCTTGCTGATGCAATTCAGTTAATTTTTAACTGCAGGGTCGCAGGAGAGATTCCAGCACTTCCGGACCCTGTTTCTGTTTAATTAGCTCTCGAATATTTCTGGTAAGCCTTGTAATATTGTTAGTCTGCAGGATTACTTTTGTGGCCTCTTGGTATGCATCGTGCAGACAAGTAGTGAACATATCAATTTCCATATCAATGTCTGCAACACTTTTAAGTGGATTGAATCTCGGGAGTCTTTTCTTGACTATATTATGAAAAAGTCTCCAATCAGTATGGAGGATGAACTTATCGGTGGGTTCATTAAAAATTCCTAAGATGGTCACAATAGGAAGATGATCAAAAATGAGCACTTCATGCACCTCCATAATTATGCTGATGCCCGCATTCGAAATAATAAAGTCCAGGATGTCGGGAGTATGGCCAGTAATAAGTGGCCTATAAGTAGGAGAATGCAGTACAAAAATGGCAACTGGATGATTCGCATACTAGGAAATCTTGCATAATTAGTCCATTGTAGTTTGTCTTTCTGCACCCCCAGTCAGAGTGCTTACTGTTGAAGTCATCTCCTACAATGAAAGAAGCATCATCTGGGATAATGCTGGCAAGAGTATTAGAAGTAAGTTTATTATCTGGGGAATTGTAGACTGCAGCAAAGTTTGTACGTCCATAACTGGGAAGCTGCACTGAGACCACAACAATTTCGTAACCGTGAGCTCTATGTGTTGCGATTAAGCAAGACGATAAGTTACAATAAACATATATGACAACGCCTCCCCCCTGTGATGTAAATTATCACAGTGAAAAGATCTGTAGTTTTTAATTGTTAACCTATCGCTCGGAGTGGCGTAAGTTTAAGAGACAAGACAGATGTCTATTTCATTATCAATTATGAAATCAGTAAATTCATCTAATTTATCCTTAAGACTGTTTGCGTTCCAAACAATTAATCTCACAGGAGCATATCCAGAACAACTGATGTGGGATGCTTAGTATAGGTGTTGTGTTGATCCATGATAATACTTGCTCAAATATAGCCCAATGGGCATTCCATCTTCTGCAGGATCTCCATTGGAAAATAATTGACCATCCAGTCCTATAATCCTGTTCTCACCCAAGTGATTTCTATCTTTTCTTACGTTTGAAAAAATTTCTGTCCAGCCAGTATTTTCTAAACAATGAAAAGGTGCAGGTAGGCTTTTTCCAATCCCAGGCAGCAGAATTATGTGGCAGAGGAAGGCAAATATTTATCTTGAAAATCTGGCAAATGTCTCAGTTCAGTATTGCATATGCTGAAAAGTAATTTAACAATTGCTGTATCCATTCCAATAAATATTTCCATGTAACTATGTTTTCATATTCTGTATGACTTTACAAGAACTGAATTTCTGTATGTGCTAGTATATATATGTGTGTGTATGCTAAAGAAAAAATATGAAGCAAACTTCTGATCAAAAATGACAATAGTGTGTTATACTTTTCATTTTAATTTGGGAATTTCCCTATTTCTTCCTAAAAGTACGCTAGTATGCAAAACTTAAGCAACTTTTCTGATTTGGGCAGTAATTTCACAAAATATCAACTGGGAGATAGGAAATTCATATTACAGAGGCACAATATAGGTGAGGAAAAAAATAGTGAGGAAAAAAATGAATAGTACTCATGCAGTATGGAATGAATAGTAAAAGGTTTTATTAACAGTATGGGATTGGTACAAAAAAAAAAACTGTCTAGCCAGAAGGGATAGCAACAAACCAAAGAGCCAAGTGATATGATCTCCATGTGAGTGTGAGAACCGTAGGCAAAATCGCCGAATTGCTATTTAGTACCGTATTATGCAGTGGTTGCATTGCACTGTATTTTGATACTCAACACAAGATTTTCTAACAGTTCTTAGGGTAAGAGGTTCCATTCCTCGAGCATCTCTTTCAGTTGTCTAGTGTTCTCTGGAGGCTCGGGCATCTCTTTCAGTTGCCTAGTGTTCTCTGATGGGTAAGATTGGGCCCACGGCATATCCCTAAATATCCTACAAATGTTCAATGGGATTAAAACTGGGAAAGCACCCTGGCTAGTCCATTCTTTGGATATCTTAGCTTTCCATGATCTTCTCAAGAGCATGAGTCGTGTGTGATTGTGCATTCTGATCCATAAAAACAAAGTCGGGACCAGTGGCACTCTGTAAAAAGTGCATGTGGAGAAGATGACTTCAGTAACCGACTCTGGTAAATGAACTGTTAAAAATATAGAGCTCCATCCATCTGTTCATCATAATGCTTCCCCATAGAAGCATGTAAGGATTGCTTCTCCCCATTGGTCTCTTTCCCTGATGTTAGTGGGATAGAAGTGTGTTAGTCTATAACATCTGGCACAGAGAATTGTTTGTCAGACTGAAATGACTCTTATCAGTAAAGAAAACATGACTCCATTGATGAGGTGTTCATTCTTTATGTTCTCCACACCACTGTAAACAGTCTAACCTATGGGGTGCTGTTAATGGTATGCAGTGTTCAGGACAGCAGGTGAATAGGTCACCTTTATGAAGCTGTCTGGTCACATTAACCCGGGATACCCATCATTCAGTTCCTGTCACATCTGCTGAGCAGTGTTGCATGCTGTCTTATTTTGGTGTCTTTTCACCTTCAGGGCAATATGTCAGGCATCAGTCACTATCATTTTCCTTGGCCGACTACCACCAACCTTTCTTGCAGCTGTACCTATTGTTAGAAGCTATCCAAGCTTGTGAAATAATACTTTTATTAAATTTAAATCCCTGGATGACAGACATCAAATTGTGCCTCTCTTTAAAACTTGCCAATCAGTCTCCTGTATGTAAAAGCATCCTGTTTTCTTGCAGCCATATTGCATGTGCAGTCTCACTTTCACTTCTAGAAGGTTGTCTGGAAATGAACCTTCCTCTTTTCTTTTCAGGTTGCCGTGCACACCCTGACTCTTGACATACTCCTTTGTTGTATGTTGCTCCTGACTCATGCCCTAGCATTCCTTCTAATGCCATGTTGATATTTGCATAAGCGTCACCTTTCTACTGAATTCGCTTTTCATTGTACTGATCACAAAAAGCCCTTTTCAGCAATTTTATGGCTGTATGTTGAAAAATGTATTTGTTGCTTAAGTTTAGCACACTAGTATAGTAACTGCTTATATCTGGTTGTTATGAAAGTTTTCCACCAAAAAACCATCTTAATAAAGTTAGAGAAAAACATGAAAGCAGTACCTTTAGTGTGGTTAGTAATCACCACCTAAAGTTATGATTTTCTGCCAACATTTTGGTAGTTTTTCAGAGCATCTGGCCCTGAAACTTGGTGGCCGCGAGTCCAAAAACAGATAAACCACATTTCAGATGCCCTGTGCAGAATGGAAGATAGCTCCATCAAGATGTATCTGCAAGTGTGAAAAAAGGTAGAAGTCGAAAGGAGCGATTTCCAGGCTATATGCTGGGTGTAGCAAAAGATCCCATTTGAGTCAGTACAGAGTCCAGCTGGTGAATGCAGACATGCGTGGTCTTGCATTATCTTCATTGAACATTACCTTTTTGGGGCGGAACTCAGTCCAACGTTTTTCCTTGATAGCAGCATCAACTCAGATTAGCATTGTGCTGTACACCTGTACTGTTGAGGGTTTTACCTTTTTCCAGATACTTTGTGAATAATACCACGGCAATCCCACCAGATACAAAGTAAGTTCTTTTTGTTAGTCAAATTGTGCTTTTCGATGCTGCCAACAGGTTCACTGTGTGCAGCCCAGCTCCTTTTTTTTACCTGTGTTGTTTAAGTAAATCCACTTTTCATCATAAGTAACGATCTGGTCCTGAATTTTGTCAAAAGTTTCTGTCACTTCAAATATCATCTGCATAAACAGTTCACGTTGGTGTGTTTAATCATATTTTGTCATACAATTTTTGGCATTTGAAAGAGGCTTGCTTTAGAACACTGTTGTGAAATTTGTAAAAAATATTGTTATCATTAAGCACAAGGTGTCTGAAATGAAGCTATCATGCTACCAGATTAGAAGCATCATTTACTTCCAGTTCTGTTGAAAAAGTCAGCTACAGAATGTCACCAAATCATGTGTTTATCTTTAGGTGCTAATGTTTTATCATATGACACTGTGAAGGTTTGGTACCGAAAGTTCAAAAACAAGGACTATGACATTTAGACAGCAGAGGACTCTGTACTGATGTTGACGAGACCTGCATGTGAGAACTTGTGGAAGAAGAAAAGTCTGCAACCACTTGAGAGCTTCCTAAGGAGTTAGACATTGCTGACATGTTCATTAGTTGCACTATGTATCATATAAACTTGACGTACAAGTTAAAATGCTGGTTGCCGCATGAGCTAATTCAAGCAGATAAGGACAAATATGTTTGGGCCTGCACTAATCTGTTCGAATATCAGTGCAAGGAGAAAATTCTGGATCAAATTGTCTCTTATGATGAAAAGTGGATTTAATTTAACAACACAGGCTGAAAAGGGGATTGTTTGGTCCAGGTGAGCCCTTGCCAGCGTCACAAAGCACAATTTGACTGACAAAAAGGTCATGCTTTGTATCTGGGGGAATTGCCATGGTATTATCCATAAAGAGTATCTGGGAAAAAGTAAAATCCTTGACAATAAGATGTACAGCAAATGCTAGTCCTTGTTGACCCTGCTATCAAGGAAAACATCGAACTGAGTTCCAGCACAAAAAAGTTCCATCAGGATAATGCAGACAGGACATCCGAAATGAGGTTGAACTGTTTTTAGAATCGCTGCTACCAACTTTCTGGGTGAAGGCTTTGAAAAACTACCAAAACGTTAGCAGAAAATCATAGATTTGGGTGGTGATTCCTACCTGCACCAAAGATACTGCTTTCATGTTTTTGTTCCCTAACTTTATTAAGAACGCTTTTGGCAGAAAACTTTTGTCACAACCAGATATTTGTCTTCAATGTAGTAAGCCTCCAAAAATGTGGGGAAGATTTTGCCCATACTGCTGTGTGAATCAGAACATGTGTTTCAAGAATTATTTTGTCCATAACTTTGTCATATATTACTTCTTAATTTTAAGTTGAAGAAAAGTAATTTATTGTTCAAAAAACTAAAACTAAAATAATACTTTCACTAGTTTTGAAGTCCTTTTTTTTTAAATATATTCTGTGTTGTTTTTATCTTATAGTAATATATGTTAAAATTATTTTTGTTATCATTATGAACTAAGAAAATTTATTAATTCTTTTAAAATTATAAATGCTTACAAGGACCAAAGCTTCAGAGATGTATGAACAAAAGTTTGAAATTGTTTCCTTCAATAAGGAAAAGTTTACATATCCCACTAAGAGTATATTTGTGTGTAAATGATTTATGATTTTTGATAAATGCTGTATTGCAAAAAATATTTTTGAAAATAATAAATATATGGTGGTTAAACTGTAAATTGACTTTTGAACTTTTATTTACTTTATAACTGTTTTATTTAATTGCATTATTTCATATACTCAAAACTCTAAAGAAATTGTATTCTTTAATCCTATTTGTATATCAATAAAGGTGGCGGCATGGCACTCATCTAAATTTCAGCATGTTTCCTCCCCTGCTTTTATATGCATCTAAGCCACAGTTGTGTTAATATATGCCACTACACGAGAAGTGCTGCTGTTCATCTCAGTATAACCCACATAGCCAGGCTATGATAAATGAAGATCTTCATCATCTCACAAGGGCAGAATATTCTACCCTTATAGTTTAAGATTTAAATGCTAAATATCCCAGCTGAAATTCAAGAACTATGAATCTGAATTGAAGACTCTTAAATAATTTTGCAACTGTATATGGTATTAAAATTATTGGACCTTCTTTACCTCTCACATTAATCATAATGTGACTCCAGACATTCTTGATATCCTGTTAACAAAAGGAAGCAATCCTACAGCACACTTAGAAATAATTGAAGAACTGAGTTCTGATCATTTGCCTGTCTATTTTAATTTTCATGTCTCTACCCATATAGTCCCAGAAGTAAAAATATTATCAATTGAGTTAAATCCAGAAATTAACTAGAAAATATCAGTTGCAGCCCTCAACTCAACAGTATCTCAGCTATTGAATTAGCCATCACCAAACTGCATGAGTTTATGGGTCTCTCCATGTATATGGGTATTTTTGTGTTTTTTCCAATGTATAATGTGGATATTAGCCAGTTTTGCTTAGAAAGTCCTCCACAAAGGCATCCGTTCCCTTAGGCAGATAGCCCTATAGTGTTTTGCATAATTGAATAAAACCAAAAACTGGTGCTAATTTATATAAAAATTCCTTAACATTAATTTAGTCCCTCCAGTCTATCCTATATCATGGGATAATAGCACTAATTTCTTTTCTAAATTTTTTTTATAAAGTTATGTGAGAATGATGTACCAGGCTTTGTTGCATAGGTAAAAAGAAAAAAGCAGTTATACTAGAGAAGTAATATATATGATGTTGATACAGAATGACCATTGTGTCCTCTGTCATCAAAATCTTCAATAAAAGCAAAAGCAAAATAAAATGGAACAACTGATAATTGAAATAATATCAGTTATGCCAAGATATTGAAGTATAGAATCTCATACTAAAAATATATATTTGAGAAAGTCTGACAGAAACTAATAAGTTGATCCATCTGAATTTAGTTGGTAATTTCTTATTAATTGTGATTTAATTGATAATTCTGTATTATTAAATAATTTCGTATTTAATTGTTAAACAATAAATTCCTTTTATGTACTGAAAAATTAAATGTTTTAAAGCTTCTCCTTCATTCCACGTCTTTTTAGAGCATTATTGAAAGCAGGTGTTATACTAAAGAAATTGTACAATGATCTACAGTGTTCACGTCAGCTATTTGTATAATTTCTGTTGTATCTAAAGTCTAGAATTGAAGGACTGGAATGATTGATTAAATTACTCTAATCCAAAAAGCAACACTTTCGGTGTATTATTAAGATAATTAAATAGTTTTGTGAAGTTATACTTTTTGAGACCATTGAAATTACACTAAACTGATTAAAATCATAATATATTTTTTCTTGTTTATAATTAATATTTTAGGCTGCTCGCTACCTAATCATTAGTTAATAAAATGCTTTCTTTTTACCACAAAACTAATTTTATGAACACTCACATGCTATGCATTTTAAATTTGTAGATGTTACCTCACGTTTTGACTGTGTTTTCTGGGCTGGTGATCTCAATTTTAGAGTTATGAAAGATAGGCGTTCTGTTTTGTCTTTTGTGGAAGAAAGAAATAGAAAATGTCAACCTTCTAGTAACTCTCTCATGAAACATGATCAATTATGTATAGCAATGGCTGAAGGTAACTTTTTTCAAAGTTATTTATTTTATTTTTTAATCAGACAATGTAACCAAGCTTTCATGTGAAAATAATTTTATTCAGGTGAAAAATCAGGAAAAATAAATAAATAAAATGCTTCAAAACTTGCGTAAAACTAACTGGAAAGCATAGTACAACTGTAAAAAATATTCTCTGAAGGTAATTAGCAGAAAAGATCTAGTTGCATGTTTAAAAAACTATTATTAGACAAAAGCAATAAATAAAATAATCATTTGCATTTACATTTACTTAGCTTAATGCAGTTGATGATCTTATGTTCAGAATTGTTGCTTCTGCTTCTTGGCTAGCATGCTTATACAGAATTCGTATGCATTTCTGCACATGGAAATTAAGTACCTTTAAGGACAATTAATGAAAACAATTAAGGACCTATCTGCAAATAGGACCTGAATAAATTCAATTAAAGATAATATGTATGCCTGAACTTCACTTTTATAATACCATCCTAAGAATGAAATAGATTGTAAGTAGTATGTATTATTATTATTAAACTTTTAATAAACATAATTATAAAACAAGTTTTATAATAAACTCAACTTTAAAAAATTTATCAAGTAGCATTAAATATTTTACACTTATAATAGCTGGACTTATTTGAAAGATTAGTGACATTTTATTTATGGTTTACTAACAGTTAGCCTTATGTTAATTTTTTCTTTCATGTCTCATTTTGTCACGCACTTGCTCAATTTAGACGTTTAGTAAATAGCATAGGCTAAAATGAGAAGTAAAATCATGATCAGCATGATTCATACCAGAAAACTGAATGTTGCCACCACTGCTGCTTACCTAGAGAGAGACCTGTTGATGAGAACAAACCTGAAAGCATGATGTAGGCACAGTTGGCAAGTTTTGAAAGTTAAATGTGCTCTGTTTGTCCGATGCAGTTCAAGTTGTAGCTTCATGTAGAATTCCTGCAGTTGTAACCCAGTTAATATAGTCTAAGGTTTCAATAAGCCACTAAAGCACCAGAAGTTGTATTATTTTAAGTAAAATAAGTTTTATATTATAAGTTGTATTATCATTGTAAGTCTCACTAGATGCAAAGAAAGTTTTACATTAATTTTTATATTTTTGTGCTGTATTTTGTGACCATGGTAAATATTAATGAAAGACAATAACTCACTTTAGTATGCAGAGGTAACTTTTAAGGGTGAGCAGTTAATTACAAATAATTAGATTAGGTAGTTAGATACCCTTAACTATTATAGATTTACATGACCACTATTATTTTTTTTTTTTTTTTTTTTTTATATTTTAAAAATATTTGTCAAAAAAGCATTCAGAATAAATATGAAATGTTATGTATGGTAAGGGCCAAAATTTTGTGGCAGAATTTTTAGAATTTAGTGACACACCGAGCAACAAAATCTGGTATTGGCAAAGCTTTTAGAATTTAGGAAGGCACTAGGCTGCAGAATGTAAGTCCCAGAGGAGATTGCATCTGGTAGGAAAATGCCTTAGTGCCAGCTCTATGTATGATGCATTAAGACATGTAAGATGAATCTTTTAAACTGTGAATTATTTTATAAACCGAAAAATTCCTTTCTATAAATGCCTGTCCATGTGATAAGATTAGAAGAATTTTTGATATTTTCCACGCTTGTATCTAGTGAAAAGTATAAAGGGAAGATAAACAAGTTAAGAAAAAGATTTCTGGTATCAGAGGTAAAACATTCAAATATTTTCATTGTTCTTCCAAAAATTCACCAGAAAGTATGAAATTCATCACAAACTTTCTGTAAAATATGTCCATTATGTCTTAATACTATGAAGGCATTTTTTATTTGGTTACATTTTTCTCGAATTTTCTAAAATTGTGGGTCTCTATATCTTACCTTCAAATCCTTCTAAACTGTCAAAGTTGCAAAGTCGTCTAAAATCCTAAAGAAAAATCACCACTACCTATTCTGTAACAGCAAAAGCCAGAAACCTTTTTTTCTTTAAAGAGGTTAAAAAGTGTAAAATTAATTTTGTAGAGAAAACTGATGTATATTCTGTGAATTTTGAATATTCTGAGGCAATTATATGGTAAAAACTTTTACTGTGAAAAAATTAAAAGGAAGTCACTTATAATTAATTACATAGCTACTTTTCTTTTGGTAAGAACTGTTTCGTAAACTGTGCTTTGTAGCATTTATTACCATACGTATTTTTCAGATTCAAAATATTGTACAATAAGTCACCAAAATGGAAAGTAATGTCACTTTATAATAATATGATGGCAAAAAATAAAAATGCTTTATTTTAATGCTATTTCTTAAATATAATTTTAATATATTACCATTATTTTAATGATTTTCCAATGTTATAATGGTTAAAAAAAATCGTCGAAAAATTCTCAGATCTCCGAATTAAAATTTTCTATAGAAACTGATCTTAAAATCGCCAAAATGTTGATAAGTCGCCAAATTTAGAACCGTTTAACAAAAGAATTAACATCCTGAAAAGCAAAAAGTTGTTCAAGAGCTCTTAACAACAAGCTTCAAAAAATGAAATAATTTCGAACATATTAATATAATGTTCCCTGTATAATGCCCAGTTTATTATAAATATAATGCCCTGTTATTCGAAATAATTTTGAACAGGGCATATTTTCTAATATTAGAAGTGTCTGAGACCCTATGGAAGACTGTGAGGAACAAAAGAAAAAATAAATAAATATAATAGCTAAAAATAAAATAATTAAATTTAAATTAAGATAAATGTAAAGAGATAAAGAGGAATATAATAAATTATTATGTTAATTTAAAATAGTTAAATAGGAAAAAATAATATCAGACCTTGTATTATTTGAGGCACTGGCTGGAATAACAATTCCTCTTAAAAGCTAAGAATTAGCTCAGCCGATCTCCATCTCAGTTTGAGCCCTGATTATACGTATAATGTATATATAATTATACATATAATTCCAAAGAATGACAGATTTTTTTCACTTTAAATATTGATTCTAATGGTATATAGCAGAATTTTTGAATGGCAGTATATTCCTGCTATCATATAAATCATGTACTTCTCTCCTGCAAAGTTTCAAAGTTTTGTATGCTTCCAAATTTTTTCAACTAGACATCTAAACTGATTATTATGTGTATGATATGGTGCATGTATGGTTAAAAATATAGTTGAGATATTAAATGTAAGAATGAGTTGCTATACCACATTGTTTGATAATTGCTAAGAAATGGGGTCATTTTTTTATTATAGCTAATAACACTTTATTACTTCACTAGAACATCACTTAAAGAACCGATACACATATTTAATAGAGAATACAGTTGAGCTCTGCCAGAACAAATTTCAAAAGATTGAAAATTTTGTTTGCTTATATCCGGTGATTCACTACATCTGATCTGATGAGAGAAATGGATTATCTCACAAAAGCATGTAAAAGTTGAGTAATGACTAGAAAAAAATCTGATTAACACTGTCACTGCTAGTAAAAAATGTGAATAATTAATCTAATTTAAAAAATACTATTGAAATTTAATTGAAATTATGATTATGAGCAGTTATTAAACTAGTTGTTAATTATTTTCCAGTCTAAGTGTATGGCAAACTCATTTGCCGTTTTGAAGCATATGTCCAGATTATGGCATATTAAAATTGGTATATACTAGCAGATTATGGCTTCTTTAAAAAACACACCATTTCAGAGAAATGCTTCTTCAAAATCTCTATGCTAAACCATTCTAAACTTTTTCCTGATGACCAAATTTTTTTCATGAGCAAAAGTTACAGAATTTTGATTGTTTCATATGGTAACTGTAGTTTGGATAAATTGCATTTTTGCAGATACCAGTTTAATTGCATATGTTTCAAATTTTTTTAATCATAATCACCTTATCTTTAATACAGAAGCTTTACATTTACTATTTACCATGCAGATGAATTTTTGACACAGAGTGCAGAGAGTTTTGTCAAAGGACATGCAAGAGTTTTGTTTTTCTCGAAAATATGAAAAAAGAACATAATTTTGTTACCTACATGTCTTATTCCTTCCCCTTTGACAGCACAATTACTTCTTCCAAAATATGTATAGTTGTGAAATAAAGATGTAGTAAACTTTTATAAAAATATCTTGTGTTTTGCAAAAGACCTAAAAGAATGCAAACCCCCTATTCAAATGATATAACTTAACCTCTTATTGCTTATCCCTTTAATTTTCATGGGCAATATAATTGTATCAAAATTTACTCATCCCATGATATCTGCGGGCATGTGTTTGTTACCTATACTGGAAGCATATTACCTGTATTAAAAGTGTTTTGTTCATCAGATTGGGTTATTTATTCATTAAATTTCAGATATTTGTGTAAAATTCATGAATCAGTATGTAGATTTCAAATGTAAAGTTTATAAGGTTTATCCTAAGTTTATAACAATTATCTCTACGTTAAAGCTCATTTCCTATCTCTCCTAATTTCAGCTTACAAATTCCTTACCAGACTGTTTTTAGAATCACGTGAAATGTAAATGAGAAGTATAAGTATTTAAGTCAAGTTCCACTGACTTCGAGGGAGAGAGAATCAGAGTTTCAGACTAGCACGCATTTGCCTTTTGGCTATGTCTCTCTAAGCTGTTACTGTGCTCGACCCTATTACGGGTCTCTGATGGCTTTGTTAGCTAATTCGATATTTAGGGGCCCTCTAGTTAGATTTGTGTCAGCTTCAGCTAAATCTCTTTAGTTAGTCATTAGTTTAAGTTCTTATTTCTTACACTTTTGAGTTTAAGCCCAAGTGGAGGCTTTGCTGTATGCCCTTACGAAGGGGCCGGCTGTATACCTTTAGTTTGATCAATAAAGGGTAAGTGATTATTTGCTTAGCAGCTCACTAAATTCCTGAACACTTAGTTAATAGATAAAAGGGAGGAACACTGGAAGTTAAAAAAATAGGAAATTTTTAAAGTGATTTTATTAAAAAAGTTGAGCAGTCAGGGAGTTGAATAGCATTTGTGCTCAAACA